TCCCTCGCTGCTTGTTTTTAAAAGCCATTTTAAAAATTGGCTCTTTAGGCAGGCCTTCCCTCAAGTCAATTACTTGTTTCGTTTCTTTAGTTTCCCATCTTGACATATCCACTAGTTAGTTCCTTGTATTATTAAGCTTTTAGTAATTATATTTTCTATTGTATTTTATCACTTTTTTGTAAGCCGCCCCGAGTAGACTGTGTCTAGAGGGGCGGGGTATAAATCCAAATAAAGTAAAGTAAAAGTAAACTGTTTAGGGTGGAGAGAGATTAATCAGAATATGAGAAGCTCTCTTTTATAATAGGCTAAGACTCTCAAACATAATGAACGGGCAATTCTCCACGGCTTCAGACAGGTTTTTCTTTCCTAGCCCCAATCTGGAGCTCCCTATTATTTCCTGGCTGTCTCCCAAGCTTGCCTTTGCTTTATTTTCAAAATCAGACAAGATCAAGGGTGTCCAGGTGTTATACTTTTTCCAGCACAATTCAACCTCCTTTTCACAATACATTCCATGGAAAGCTAGAATAATGGCACCACATTTTTGACTTGTACTGGTAGCACTAGAAGCCCAACCAATTTCAAATTTTCACCACTAAACAGTCCTCTGCTTCACCACTGGGTGTCTCTGTGTGGTTATTTTACAAGAGCATAAACCCAGGCACATGTTTTCATACAGCTTTACATTACTTGGCTGAACCTTGGGAGCTGTACTATTCCCCTATAGATCTCAATGGGTGTCCAAACTACCCTTAGACATGTTTCTTGGCCAAGCTGCAACAGAACTTGTAACAATTTGTTGCAAACAATTATTTACTTGAAATTAATTTTTCCCAATAATAAACAAAAGGTACAACTATATAACACTGGCTGAAATCTTGGAGTAATTATGTCTATGGAAGGGTGATGAAGTCACCTGCAGGTGGTTTTCAGCAATTACAAACTTATTCCTTCTGTCCTGCAGCTTTTAAAATATCCTTTTTTTACTGCATGGAAGTCTTGCCAGCCATGGGACAGGAGGAGTAACTCTTTAATTACTGAAAACTCCTGTCACTGGATACATTACAGGCAAGAGGAGATTTTTGTAATAAAATACTTCCTCCTTCCATCCTGTGGTTCATTCCCGCACAATGAAATGGACACATAGGAATTTGGAAAGCCATCACATGGAAGTAGATTTTTTTAATTATTATTTACCGAAAATTGCCCCCTATTGTTAATATTATTACTCTTCCACTGAAGTTACACAACAGGATTTCAACCTGTATGACTGTAAATTACTGTACAATAACATTGTTCTTTATGCTACTTTTGAGAAATAGGAAAATATAATTTTTAGCTTTGCAATTATAGAGAAAATTATTTGCTGGGGGGAGGGAACTGACTTTCTATACCTTGGTCATCTAGCCCAAATTTGGACAAGTTGGTTTTTATTGCTCTGGGCACAAAGCAATTTGAGTGCTGTAAGAAATCCTCTCGAAGTGTGAGCATCTGAGTATCATCATGAGCTGTGATGAAACTTATGCTTGTTTTCATTAAATGATAGTAGCTCATCTGCACAGGTCATCAAATATGTACCCTGTTTTCCCGAAAATAATACAGGGTCTTATATTAATTTTTGCTCCAAAAATGCATTAGGGCTTATTTTCAGGGGATGTTCTATTTTTTTTTCATTTACAACCATCTATGTTTATTCAAATATAGTCATGCCATCTTCTGGTTGCTGCACAATGGTAGAGGGCAGGGTTTAACTTCACTGGGGCTTATTTTTTTGGGGTAGGGCTTATATTACAAGCATCCTGAAAAATCATACTAGGGCTTACGTATTTTCAGGTTAGGTCTTATTTTAGGGGCAACAGGGTATGCGTAAACTGACCATTGATGAACTTCAGGTGTGTATGCAACATGATGGCTTTGACTTCAGATACTAGGGCTTACGTATTTTCAGGTTAGGTCTTATTTTAGGGGCAACAGGGTATGCGTAAACTGGCCATTGATCAACTTCAGGTATGTATGCAACATGATGGCTTTGACTTCAGATTTCAGTTTCTGGATCCTGCAGATTCAGATAATAGATTCTAACTTACTTCTTTCCATCTGCATGAAAACCCTCCTTCTCTTGGTTGACTATTGCTACCAGCAGAAATGTTGTAAGTGCTGCTTGGTATCTGTTGCTATTGTTCTGACTGGCCATTGATCAACTTCAGGTATGTATGCAACATGATGGCTTTGACTTCAGATTTCAGTTTCTGGATCCTGCAGATTCAGATAATAGATTCTAACTTACTTCTTTCCATCTGCATGAAAACCCTCCTTCTCTTGGTTGACTATTGCTACCAGCAGAAATGTTGTAAGTGCTGCTTGGTATCTGTTGCTATTGTTCTGATTTTTTAAAATCTAAGATACCATCAATGTGCCAAACACAAGGCGGTGATTCATAATTTTCTGTATTAGGAAGGAGGCAAGGTAAATAGCTGGCTTTGTTTGCTACTCCACATGGAACAGCAAATAGTAATTCAAGACAAGTGTGTGCCCATGCAATAATGATAGCTATATGGATATAGATTCTGCAATGCAAAGACATAGACTATCATATCCCCTCATTCAGGCCATTTCACTTCCTTCCCCCTGGTTCAAATAAAGCCCCAGTAGCATCCTTTGGCCTTTGCAATCTGTATCACACATACCGGAGAGTAATTTAAAACCATAAAGTTTTCCACCAAGGATCCACACCTTTCCTTTAACACACTCTCTAAATGTAATGTTTTGTGCCCCACTGTTGTGTCTAAAGGAACAATTGATGTAAATGCTATATGAGAGATTTAGTATGATGTAGTGCAGTGGTTCTTAACCTGATTTAAAACCATAAAGTTTTCCAACAAGGATCCACACCTTTCCTTTAGCACACTCTCTAAATGTAGATGTTTTGTGCCCCACTGTTGTGTCTATGAGAGATTTAGTATGATATAGTGGATAGATTGTCGGGCTAGGATTCAGGTGACCTGGCTCCAAATTTTCACCTGGCCAAGGAAAATCACTGAGAGATGGCAGTAGTCAGTTATTCTCTGAACATTCCACGTATCTCAAAAACACTATCATGGCCACCATTAGACAGAAACAACACCACCATTATAGGAAAGGAATCTATATTCTGAATATTGAGGTGTAGGACTACATTGAATGGGGTAGAAACACCAGAATTTCACATTACTCCTTAAGCAGATAACATTCCAATGTTTTTCAGCGCATGAAGCAGGTAATTGAGTTCCTGTGAGTGTTTTTTATTGCACTGTTGCCTGCTTTTGGAATAGATTAGCAGTTCCCAACTTTAGGTACCCATGTGTTCCTGGACTAAAATTCCCAGAAGTCTTTACCACCACCTGTGTTGGCTGGGGTTTCTGGAAGTAGTAGTTTCAGAACATCTGATAGCCTAAGATTGGAAAGCAATGTAATAAACTGACTGAGAAGACAGAGCCATGTGTGTCACATAGCCTGCTATTTGTCTTGTAAGCTGCTGCCCTCAGGCACAAGGGACAATACTGTCCTCTGCAACAGTGCTGAAGGAAGATTCAAGCAACGGCCCACTTAGATTCTGTACAGAGTGTGATGTGGGGGATACCATTTGCTCTTCCCTTCAGACATTCTGCTGCCACCTTTGTTGATGGAATACATATCACTGAAAACATCCAGCCCACCCATACAGGTTAATACTCTTCCTTTTATCAAGCATTATTTCTGTTACCTTCACAAGGTCCTACTTTGAAGCCTCATCACAGCTGGGGACTGAACATATGCTCTTCTCAAATGTTATGCAGGATCTGGGAAATTAGACCAAGCTGGTGTGTCTGTCTGCTGAGGAACCATCTAGGTGATAGTTATGGAGAGGCTGATCACCTGCAACGGCAACTACTGATTTATTATTCCCATTTGGATCTTGCTTTTTGTCAAGTGAGTTCTTTGCACATGGTTCCATTCCCACCCACTTTTAAGAATGGTCAGGTAGACAGAAATTATTCCAGTGTCACTGATGGAGTTTCATGGCTTGGTACATGACCAGAACCTGGATTTTCTGAATCCTTGTCCCCAGCTAAACTCACTGCATATTACTAGCTCTTATGAACAATGAGCACAGGCATGATGTACAATAGATGTGATGTACATCTGCAGAAAATAATTCATACCTGTGAAGTTACAGATTTTCCTGGTATGAATACCAAGCTATAAAATTATTTCTGCTTCATTGCACAAGTCCTGGCCAAGTGGTCTCCCATCCATTTCAATATGGCTCCTGCAAGCTAACTTCCCAGAGGACTGTGCTCTTGATCAGTTAAAAAAAGCCCAAACCCCAACTAACGGTGTGTTATATGAGGATGCATTTAGTTTCATATTTAATGATCATTTGTGGAATAATGTGCAATGTTGTTATAGTGAAGCCAAAATAATGTAAGCTTTTTCCCCAATATCCCTCTGAAGTAGTTTTCTCCTTATGTGATATTTATTATTGTGCAGTAGTGCTTCATACTGAGCCATACAGAAGAAAATGATTATGTGAAGCTAGTCATCATTTGAGCTGCAGTTTAATTAGAAGAACTTTATAACAGCACTACAATGCTGTTGAAGTTACAAGGACCTTATGAAGTAGTATCAGCAATACAGTAACATGGGTGGATGAGAATTCTGTTTCAGGTCATGTTGCCAAAATTATTCTTCTCATGTTACCAAAATGGGGGTTAGACTCGATGGCCTTTTTGCACTATTATAATTTGTCAAATACTGTTTTAGTATTGTTACTTTCTGAGAACACTTAGACATCACTATTGAGACAACCTTTATTGGCATAAAGATGATAAAACATAACCAAAATGGTACTTTAAATACCCCAGGCATACACAATCCAGGAAGGAAAAAAGAAGATATCTATTGAGTAAAGATATATTTTGATTTGCATTCCTGCATTGAGCAGGGGGTTAGACTCGATGGCCTTATAGGCTCCTTCCAACTTCATGATTCTATGAAGGCTTACTCATCAATAGTTTAAACAGCCAATGGGTCTCCTCTAACTGGGACTGCAATGTGAATTTAGGGATGAGAGGCCCACAGACTGGGGGAAAAGGAAACTTGCCAAAGGACCAGGAAATGGAGAAGTCATTTTAGCCAACAATTATGGCAGTATGAAAAAGGAACAGAAGGGGAGGCAAGGGCTAGGAAGAATGGATGATCGAGAGCGACAGATAGGTGAGAGAGAAGGTTCTTGGCACACATGGATGGTAAGAACCAGATCTCAGGACAAAGGATTTTTAGCAGTCTGGTGCCCTCCAGATGCTTTGGAGTATAACTCCTACAGTCTTCAGACAGCATAGCCAACACAGCTGGGAAGCACCATAGTGAGGACAGTTTACACTAGAAGCTTAGTTTATTCCTCTTCAAAAGCATCACCGAGGTCACTTATGAACACTCTATATGCATGATTTATTTAATAAATGTGTATCCCCATATTTAAAATTAGAATATTTCTCCTTCTTTACCATACTTCGACACTGAAAAGCCCAAACATACATGTTACTATAGTCTCGCGAGACTGAAGGGTGCTTATGTATGTAAGATGCTGGACAAAGGTATATTTTTGTATGGATTCCACTGAAGAAAAAAGCTCGTGTCTCTTCAGTCATCAAAAACAGTGTTTCAAATTGATAAATCAAGTGGGAATTAATGGAAGAGCTTTAAATACTGAAATAATATATTTATGCACATTCATTGTACTTTAATAAACTAGCAACTACATTTGTGCACCAATTAACATTTCTGAATGAGGTTCAGAGGCAGCCTCCCTTACAATACATTACAGGCATTTCACCTGGATTTTATTAAACCATAAATAACATGTAAGAATATGAATTCTTCTTCTTTTTCTATTTTCTACTGGAAGCCTTTTTCAAAGGCATGACGATAACAACAACGATGATGATTATGACGATTAAGCACCATGTGTCAATGCAGCATTCACACTTGGGAACAATTTGTGTAATGTCTAAAATAATTAAATAAAGAGTATCAAGGATGTTACGCAGTGCAACATCCAGCCTTTGGCTCATGACAAATACATGTGTAAGATCTGTGGCAAAAAGTCATTCACTTCACAGACCAGCTTTCTAAGGGATATGAGAGGAAACAGGCAAGCTCTAGCGGTAGCTCTTAAAAGTTTAGCAGCGATCATATAGAATTATTTATAGAAACTAACTTGAACAGCTGCTTTCCCCTCTCTCTAGCGGGACTCATTAAAATCCTGTTTGACACTCAAATAAGACTGTGTGTTTGGTGGTGAGAGGGAGGAAAGTGTGTGTACTTTAAAGAAATTACAGGATTTGGAAATTAAGATCAAAGGTGCAGCACGATTTTGAAGTTACTCACTGTTCCCCATGCTTTCCCAATGAATTAAAAAATGATGTGGAGGAGCAGAGTGGTTTTCTTCCCACAGCCAAAAATGGAACAGTGAAGCTAAATGCAGCCATGTTGCCGTGTTCATCTGAAAAGGAGCAGAGAATTAAAATAGGGAGTCAGAAGGTGTCTTGGGAAATTACTTATAACGCCTAAAGTAACATGATACCCTGCTGTTGAGATGTGCAGTTTCCTCAATTGGCATCTATGATCATCCAGGCGTGAAAGGCAGTAATCTTATGCACACTTACCTGGAATAAATCCCACCAATTATAGTGGGATTTTCTTAGGAATCTTATGCATAAGATTGGCCTGCATAGCTTGTGGAATCCAATTCTCTGCCCCAAGATAAAGCTTACTTAAACAGTAGTAGATTCCAAATCAGCTCATGCTGTTGTAATGGTTAAACTGAGTAAAGTATTCAGCATATTTGTTGTAGAAGAGGTACTCCGTCATGTCATGAAATATGCCCATTTGTTAAACCACATTATTTCCTTCACCTAAGTATCTTGCATTCTGCACACTTTGTTTTTGTGAGTAGTGAATAATCTCCCAAATTCTAGATACATGAATAGTGCGCAGATAGTACTGAGGTCCCAAGTTAAATAATAATAGATTATATCCTGCCATCAGTTTCTCCAGAGCTCCAGTTAGGCTATTTGTAGCATCTGATCATTACATTTCTTGGACCCCCAGTTATGTATGTCATATAAAAAGGAACCAAGAAACCAATTCCTTCTAGCAGTAGTTCTGTTGACTTCTGTCTACTCTCCATCTTTCATTTTACCAAACAACATGTATTCTAATCAATATGTTTTTAAAAATGACTTGGGTGATGATACACAACACACACACAAAATCTTACGTACTGTATAACATAGGCTGATATTTAATTGCAATAACTGAATGAGTATCATTATGAAATTGAAATCCCCAGACTTTTAAATAGGGACCGCCTTTTCTACATGGAGGGGTAAACAAAACAAGTGTAGCAAAAAGATATTGGGGTGGGGAGAAGAGACAGAGAGATAGAACATGGGGGCAGAATTAATAACTCTCTAACCCAGGTACACTAACTAGTTTTCCATATTTTTAGATTGGCTTACAAAACAAAAAGTCCTCTCTGTGCTATTTGCTCTGCCACTACTATTAGGTTGTAAGGAATAATTGTATTATATGTATGTGCTCACAAGGCATCTAGTTTCTTCTCTAAATAAATAGGATCATGTGTCTTTGTTTTTATTTTAATTTATTTATTTATTTATTTAAACAAACAAACAAAACCTGCAGCTTATATACAGCCCCATACAGCTTAAAGCACTCTCTGGGCGGTTTACAAGTTAATTATGAAGGCTACACATTGCCCTGCCCCCGCAAGCTGGGTACTCGTTTTAACAACATTGGAAGGATTGAAGGCTGAGACAACCTTGAGCCGGCTACCTGGGATTGAACTCCAGGCCCAATCGGCTACAAAAAGAAAGCCAGCAATGTGGATAGGCCTCAGCACTTGCTTTAGCTTCAGTGGTTCAGTGGCCAAGGCACATTACCTGGAATGGAACCCCTTTCGAGAAATCAAAGAGGGAAATAACAGTGATATTGCTGTGGGGATCCACTATAGCAGTGGTTCTTAACCTTTGTTACTCGGATGCTTTTGAACTGCAACTCCCAGAAACCCCAGTCAGGACAGCTGGTGGTGAAGGCTTCTGGGAGTTGCAGTCCAAAACTCCTGAGTAACCCAAGGTTAAGAACCAGTGCACTATAGAACTCCTAATTAGTTGGATGATGTACTGATGAGCTTAAAAAACATTCGGATAGGAGAGCTATAGAAGCTATGGAGATTTCAATTATCCTAATATTTGTTGCAAGTATAGATGGGCATGAATTTAAAAATGTTTAAAAAATCACTAATTTGTCAATTCATATTCATATGTATCAATGCCCCTGACAAATACAAATCAATGATTTTTTAGTAATTTTTGATTTGTTGATTCATTGGCTATAAAATGGCCCCCAAGCACCTAGAGACACCACAATTGGAGAGACTCTTTCCCCAACTCCCTTCTACAATCCCTCCAAGTTTGGTGAAGATTGGATTCCAGATGTCTGAGTTAATTCACTCACAAAGAGCCCTCCAGTCACTTAGAGATACTAAAATCATAGAAAATCACCCTGACTCTCCTCTATAATCTCGCCAAGTTTGGTGAAGACTGGGTTTCCCCACGCCAGATGTCTGAAACCCAATGTTCACCATCCTTGCAGGGATTGTAGAGGAGAGTTAGAAGAAGCTTCCTTGCCATTTTGGTGTCTCTTAGTGCTTGGGGGAATTTTCCTGGGAAGAGCCCTCTTTGTGGGTGTATAACTTGGATGTCCAAAACCCAAACTTCACCAAATGTGCAGGGCTTGTAGAAGAGAGCCAGGGGAAGTTTCTTTGGGATTTTAGTGTCTCTGGATGATTGAGGGCATTTTACAGCGTTTTAAAAGCAGAACTGAATCAACACATTGACTTGTCAATTCGTCAGAAAATCATAAATTTGTTATTTGTGATTCATCAACCTTGATGAATCATGAATCAAAATGAATCACGGTTTTGCTGATTTGTGCCCATCTCTTGCTGCAAGTCCAACTCGGTGAAAAATCCCTAACTTGCTTTGCTAGAAACATGACCAACTTCAATACTGAAGAAGGAATAAAAGGGCCAGCTATTCTATATCTTGTTCTTACCAACAAGGAAGGACTAGCAAGGAGTAATTAGGAAGAAATTTGGATAGAAGTAGCCATGTTCTCTTGGGGTTTGTTATATTGAGGACAGAGAAATGTGAGACTAGCATAATAGGGTTTAGGCATCTTAGGTGGGTGTTGTGTTTTGATTATGCAAATTTAGGATGGGGGACAGTTGGTTTGACAACAGTACATGTGAAAAGGATCTAGTGGTCTTAGTGGACCACGGCCAAACATGAGTGAACAGTGTGGTGCTGTAGCAGCAGGGAGAAAAAAGGAAATACATTTCTAGGCTGCATCAGCAGGAAGCAAAATATTTGGGCCAATGGAAGTAACTGCACCACTCTGCTCTGGTCATGCTGTGTACAGTATTAGGTAATATTGTGTCTATTTCTGGGCAGCAAAGTTTAAAAGGATATCGACAAGCTTAATATATCCAGAAGGCAGCAACCAAGACGGTAAAAGTTCTGGAAAGAACTTATCAACAGAGTTGGATATGTTGAGCCTGGAAAATAGAAGGCAGAGAAGTAAAATAATAGCAATCCTTAAAATATTTGAAGGGCTGTCATACAGGAGAAAATGAGCTTGGTTTCTGCAGCTCCAGAAGGGAGAACCCGAAGTAATGTATTCACATTAGAAGAAAGGAGATTTCAAGTAAATTTTAGGAAGAACTTCCCAGCAGTCAGGACCGTTCGATAGTGAAATGGACTACCTTCCAAAATGACAGTCACTGGAGGTTTTCAAACAGAATTTGGATATGCTTTTAGGGATGTGAATTTCAGAATTAAAGGGCTTCTACTCCTATGGGAAGGTGAGTTGCAACAAAGGCTGCCTCTACACTTTCTTAATGGAAACAGCCTCCATCAGAACTCACCCTCCCATGGTCCTTTGTGACTGCAATGAATCATCATGATTCACGCCGCTGTGGGGTGGTTTTCTTCCTGCTTGACAGAAATGGTACAGGAATAGCAGGGAAGTAAAAAGGCTGCTCTATGACATCCTGGTTCAAGGGCCTGTATTATCCCAATTTGGCCTCAACCCCCCCCCCCCAATTATAGGAGCAGAAACACTTTAATTTCAAAAATCCCATCCCTAGATGCTTTAGTAGTGGATTTCCTCTTTTTCAAGGGACTGAATTTGATGGCCTTTGGTGTCCCTTCCAGCTCTACAATTCTATGATACCAATGGGACGCTCAACTCTTACTTGCAAATACAAATTCCTACCAGTAGATTTTCACTGCCTTTTCCTAGTTGAGTGCTGGAAAACATCAACTTCAGTGCGTTTATAAGAGAAAGAATCAGTGGACAGAAGAGCTGTCAGTATTGTTTTTATGCTTATATCCTGCCCTTTGATTTTGGAATAAAGGGTGGGATATTATTATTCTAATAAACAAACCAACAGCATTTATTGTCATCCGTGCAAATGTTGCCTTTCACCTCCAAAAATCTCCTTCTGTTGCTGTCTGTTCCCTTTCTACACGTGGTTTTAGCAAATGAATATTTGTCAAAATAACACATACAGTTCTCTCTTTAATTACAATTGAAATACACCACAGGAAGAGGCTTTCCAAAACTCCAGCTCAAGGGAATCCCAACTTTAGAGAACCTGGAGGTCTGAACATCTGGTTGAAGCTTTCCTTTCCAAGCATAGTGAGAAAGTAGCTACAGTTTATTAGTCAAAACTGTTTTTAAGCATCTTGGGTGGATCTTGTATGTTGACTATGCAGATAATTGGTACTGACATGGTGAATACTAGGTCACTGACACAGATATTCAGGATACATTATTTAATCATTTTTTTCATTTATATAATCTACACACTGCAATCACTGCAATTTATATAATAGCATCTGAGTATAAAGAACTTTATGGAGAAACATATTCCAAATGATAGATTCCTCCTCCAAAATAAATGTTATTAGTGGGAAAGCAATACGAGGAAGGGAAAAGCAAAGGAAATGGAGGATTAATGTACAGTACTGTAAGTGCACTTGCTTCCACTTCAGATTTCTTTCTACAGATCAGGAAGAGGACTAAGCAGCCCAAACCATCATGAATGGAAGTAGGCACTGAGTCTGCAGAAACAAGCAGTACTGTTTAGTCTGTCACAGTTTAGGCTAGCAGTTTGAAATCCAGCATAGATATCTCAAACAGGGACTTTCCTGCTAAGATCCTAGGCTTTCACACCCTTTGAATTTGAACTACTATTTGCTACATATAAACTTAAAAGCCTACCTCACTTCTGTCATTCACTCCAGATAAAGGCTAAGGAGGGGCTGCTTATCAGAGCAGAAAAATCCAGTCATCGGAAGACAGGTGACATATGCATTTGGCCACTCCTAGTTAACTAACATTATTTCCTCTACTCAG